TAAAAAAAATGTGAAGATACGAAAACATAAGAAACCAGTATTTTTACTCGTACGTCGAACATTGGCAATTCAAACACGTTTTAGTTTTTGCAGAATATATTACGACTGTTAATGACTAGGCAGAGTATATAACATAGATATTTCAAAAGTTTTGTTTCCAATGTATAAATTTTTTCATTAGGGTATTATTTCAAAGGAGTTCTAGGCCTATATTCAATATGCCGTGATAAGTATTTATAGGTCTTGTAACTGCTTAGTAATGAATAACTTCACAATTAATATTTTTACAAGAAAGCAAAATGTAACAATTTTTTTTTAATTTAACGACACCATATTGATGACTATTTTCATACATCATTGCTCCCACACATACATACATTTTATATTGTGTTTTCCTTTAAACTGATATTATTTAAAGAATATAGAAATATCTAACAATTGAGGATTTTAATAACTAAAAACTATAAAAAGATGGGTGTGACAAGTTTTGACGATCATATTAGTATATATGTGTATTCTATCTGTACATCTCTGCCATCGTGTTTTCCATTCAGATGCACAGATTTAACTGGAAAGGTTCTGTGTAAAAATCTGTTCAGTCGTTTTAAAGTCATGATGATTTTACATGCCTACATTTATACAAATGCAGTGAGCTAAAATGTGCACTTACACACTAACTTCTAGACAAAACAAAATAATTAATTAAATGAATTTCGACTCCAAAGTTGAGATTACGCCCATAAATAATTCTATAATAAATCCAATAGGGTCAACATTTACTAAGGAAGATTAGGGGAAAAGGTGATAATATTTGTTTTGTCTGACAAAAATGGTAAACAGTAAATTATTATAATAAATGGAGAAGGTAATAATAGGGTTTTATAAGGATATGCCACGAATAGTAATTTGGTTGAATAACGAAAATTCGGCCGAATATTTGACAGGCGAATATTCAGCAACACTTATATAGTACCTTTCGCGGCTTTAAACCTGAATCACTAAAATGGTCAGCAAATCCAAACAACATCCTAACCAAACAGAATTTGCTAAGATTTATTTATCATCTGTTTTTTTTTTTTTAAGTAATAGGGGTTAAAGTATGAAAATACCGTTCTATAGTAATAGATACTTTGAATTGACGTAAAATCTTTATGGTGTGAGATTATCGTGTCAAACTTTTTTCACATGATAGGCATGAGGTCCTTTTTTTTAAAATGTGCAACATTCGATTTTCAAATTTTGATTGTTTTTTTTTTCATTCCGCTTAGACGTGAAAGATGGATACTTCGAAAACCCTAGTCATTTTTTAAATACGAGTTCCGAAGCGGAACTAACGCGGCAGAAACAGCTCGCAATATCAACGCTGCGTTTGGAGAGGAGACTGCTAATGAATGCACCGTGCGTTTCTTGTTTAAAGGCTTTCGTAATGGAAACTTCGACTTGAAGAACGAACCACGTGGAAGACCGCCCACACACGTGAATACGCTGAATTGAAGGAGATGGTAGAAGCTGATCCAAGTCAAACTACCCAGGAATTAGCGGTATGGTTTAACGTAGCCCTGCCTCGTTAGGGTCGGCAACGCGTTTGTGACTTCTGAGTTCATGGGCGGCCATGGTCACTTTCCATCAGGTGACTCGTCCACTCGTCTGCCCCCTCTAACATAAAAAATCTTACGATAGAAAAAAAACGAGTTTCAATTTTTCATACTCGGAGTTGATCCTTTGATCTTAAAGTAATGAAAAGTCGTTTAGTGAGTACCTGCATCAGTCGGTTTTGAGAGGTTCCTGACGCCTTCTGAGCAATATTGCATTTCGAGTGTTTCCTTCCACTCCCTATGGATGACACTGCCGGAATCGGGATTTCGGTCATCATTCTCGAGTATCGGGACCGACTCACCCCGCACATCTTGGCCCCAATACTGAATTAAGACTATGTGCATCCGTCAAGGACGACCCCATTATCATGGGCTCTCACTCAGGTACCAGGTTGGAAGTTGTGCACAGGAGACTCGCCGCCTCAAAGGAGATCGTGCGGTACCCCCTTATGATCCTGGTGGCCAGCACTCGCTGCGGTCGTCGCAGGATCGCGACGTTGCTGGCCTTCAGGGCCCCCGCCCATACTGGGCATCCGTAAAGGGCCATGGACCGCACAACCCCCGCGTAGAGTCTCCTGCAGGAGTCATCGGGTCCCTTCATGTTGGGCAACAGCCGCGCCAACGAACGTGCTGCCCCAACCAACTTGGGGACCAGACTGCGGAAATGATTTCCGAAGTCCCATCGGCCAACGAGTACGAGCCCCAGATACCTGATCGAGGGCTCGATGCCGAGGCGAGTGCCTCCTACCGTGAGGCTAGATCCCTCAGGCGGCTTAATCCGAAGCCCGTGGAAAAACAGGGCCTCGGACTTGTGCAGAGTCACCTCGAGACCCAGCCGCCGGATTCGCTCAACGACTTGGGCAACCCCGGCCGTGGCCCTCAGGGTTGCCTCGTGGTGCGTCTGGCTGCGCGCCGTCACGAGTGTGCCATCCGCGTAGCACACGACGGCGACACCATCCAAGAAGGCACCACGAAGCACCCAGTCGTAGCCGATGTTCCACAAGAGTGGCCCTAACACCGACCCCTGCGGAACACCGCACGACATTTCACGCCTACCGAGACCGGTCCTACTGGGGTAGAGGACGGCTCTCTCCGACAAATATACCCCGACTATGCGGCGAAGGTAGAGAGGCACTTCGTGATACACGAGCGCCTCCCTGATGCAGCTCCAGGGCAGAGTGTTGAACGCGTTGGCGATGTCCAAGGACACCGCCAACACCACTTCGCCCCGGGAAACTGCTTCCTCCGCCAGAGCCTTCACGCGCATGATTGCATCCACGGTGGAGCGCCCCTGACGGAAACCGTACTGGTTGTCCGCCAGATCCAGCCCCACCATCACGAGATGCTTGACGAGGCGCCTTGCAATCACTCTTTCAAAGAGCTTGCACACCTCGTCAAGCAACACTATAGGCCGGTAGGCGGACGTGGAAATTTACCCTAATGCCGCCTTTAATCGATTACTTTTATTGAATCACCTTTATGGTGAATTTTTTAAAAGAATATAATCGTGGATCTGTCACATTTTATCGCTTGTACATAATGTTATTTTCCCATTGACCTGAATTTAGAGCTTACGAGTTTATGTGTAAAGAGTAATTATTAAAATAAAAAATCAGATTAAACTCATTGGAAGTTATTTAATGTCTTCTAAAAGTAATAGGTCTCATTTGCCGCCTGTTTAATTTAATGACATCATTATGATGGGCACCTTATTTTAGGGTCCCCAAATTCAGGTGGTTAACTGACATATGTTACCACGGCGATGCTGTGACCACTATGTGCTATAGATTTATCTCGAATGCTTCTAATCTTAACAAAGCACAACTAGGCAAACTTGCGAGACTTCAAGTTATTGTATTCGATTTATAATTTGGCGATTTATAATTCTGATTCCTTAAAAACTGTAGAGACTACCAATTCGCGGGAAGCGTTTCACTAAGAACACATAAGTTCGTTCGAAACTTGAGAATGAAAATGCTATTTTTTTTTCCAAAAGAATAGTTTTCTTATGGACTCTGTGCGTTTATCTAGCCTCTAAGCTAGTTGGTATACGATAATGGAGTGCAATCTTTGGCTACGTTCAAAACAATATTATGTGAGTGTAATTGTCAGAATAAAAACTGTTTATTTGTTTGCAAAAACTGTGTATTATCTATAATATACATTTATTAATATTTACATATAAATATAAATTTGTAAGAGAAAGTTTAACGTAAATATTTTCATTAAATAATAAGTGATAAAACAATTATTTATACATTTTTCATGTTGCACTTAGTGTAAATTTTCTATAAAGTCCTGGTGTATAAATGAAGCATAATTTATATCTGTATTTTTAGTTTCACTAAAGAATCCATTAAAATAAATCATCTAACGTACAAAACGCTACTTGTGCTCTTTTTTATTGTGACGACAGAATACCTAGTAAGAATACCTAGTAACATCCACTAAACAGCTACTGTGGCTCCAACTTTAAATCAATGCTGAGAATACTTTTAGCATAATTTATAATTATATTGCACAATGACCTACTACTTATACAGAACTGACCTAAACCTAGCGATTAAAACTCTTGTAAGAATATGGTTCTCAATTCGACGGATTTTTGTTAAGTGTATATCTAATGCGATTTATTCACCAAATGTAAACCAAATTCAACAATTATTTTTGTAAAGGGTGTATTCAAAGTTATTTCTATACAAAAAAAAACTATCTTTAAGTAAAATTAAAGATGAAGAAAACAGCTTATTACAATATATCGTGAATTGGGTTAATTAAAGTCGATTAAAGTTTTTTGTAAACTTTATTATTTGAAATAAATCTATTGCATTTGCATTGCAAGGACGTATTTAAACTGACTTCAAAAAGGAGGAGGTTATCAATTGGGATGTTTTTTTTTTTACGTATGTTCGGGCATAACTCCGTCATATATAGACGGATTTACAAAATTGTGGTTTTGTTCGAAAAGGGTTTATTCTGAAATGGTCCCATTTAAATTTTATATAGATCTGATTTTTGACAGGGACAAGTTTTTAACGCTGTTTGTTATTAGTATTGTTTAAAGTCGGTTCAACTTTTTTTAGACAGGATTTATCTTGTGATTTATTTGTTTTCTTTTCTACTTTATTAGTGAAAAGTTATTAAAGTAGAAAAAAGTATGTAAGTGTATTTTTATAAAAATAAAACTAGGTTTGAAATATATTGGTTTTCGTAACCCAATCGCAACAAAGAATTTCATAAAAGTTGGGTAAGAATAGCGCTAGAAGAAGAAACTTAAACAACTATTAATTATTTTTATTTTATTAACGATGGTTTAAAATATACTGATACTATATTTTGTGTGTTGTTACAAAATGGTAAAATTGGTTTTAATATTACAACTTCTCACTTCCCATTTGTTTACAGGTGATTCGCAAGTGGCATACCTGTACGTGATACGTCAATTCGGCTTCACTGAGGTCGAATACAGCATTTATGGTACCATTAACATCGTCCTGGGTCTGTTTGGTAAGTTAATTAACATTTTACTTTAAAACTTGTGAAAAATACCTCAAGATTAAATCGTAAGCGGTTAGAGACCTACCGTCGTAAAATTTTAATGAAAAGAAAAAGAAAAAGGTACTACATTTTTGTGTACTAAATGTTTTAAGAGTGCATTAATATAAGTTTTTAATTTAACTATAAAATTACCTTTGATTTTAATATAGGAAAAGAATAAAGTGATGATTTAATAATTATTTTTTATGTTAGAGGGGGCAGGCGGACAATTACTTTTTTGCCTTTCACTGTACTGTAACTTATAATAAAACCGCCGTAAGCTTGGTCCTCCTGATGGTTTGCGGGACGCGGGGCGGGTGATGCGCTCGGCTATACATGACACAATGTACTAACGCGATATCTTCATTCTCGATTCTTATTTATTTGTTTGATATTTAATTTACACACGATGTAATGAAAATCGAATTTATTTCCATGTATTATAATGTCAGTGTATTGTAAGTTTTTATGATTAATTGTAAAATTTAATACTGTAAAATAATTTCAATAAAATCACCTTATCTTCATCATGTAAATTATATTTAGATACAATTTAAAAATTAAGTAAAATAATAAATATTCTTTATTAGAACTTTAACAGTAGAACCTCTGTAAGCCGAACTACAAGTTTTTAAATCTTTTTGTGACGCAGAGTCGGCAGATTATCCATGTTGCAAAATAATACCGTGTGTAGCAGTCTTAAGAAAAATAACGGTACAGCCATGCTTTCACGTCAGTCACTGCCGGCGGACAGCGACGCACTAGCTAATTGGTTGAATGCACCCCCACCCCGCGTCCCCCAAACCATCAGGAGGGCCAAGCTTATGGCGGTTTAACTATAGTACTTGGTGTCCGTACATTCTTCTGAGAAAGCCTGTGTTTGCCGATTGATATTGTACATTTAATAATATTCAATAACTTGTATTAGTTTTAAGCAAAACTAACATATAACAGTTTTAGGTGAACCAATTCATAAATAAATGATAAACCAATTTTCGGTCTCATAAATGGGTCAATATTACTGTAAATTTTTTAGATCTGTAAATCGAATTATTATAATCTACTTAAAGACTAATATTTTATTAAATTTGTGTGTATTCATTTTTATTAATTAATATTATCAGAAGCTTTTTTAATCGACTTTAAAATAATGATATCATTTTGACAAAAAACGTATACGGTACGTATACGGTACGTAAACGGTAAATATTTACAATATGACTATCTACATGATTTAATTCAAAGTCATCAAAATGTGCATAGTATGTAATGCGTAAAAAAACAGTTTATATAACCAGCACTTTGACCTTCGTGCATCTGTACATAAAAAATAGGCTAATTCCAATATTTTCGTATTATGAAGCGCATCTCATTGCGTGAGCGCACTAACATCGACTTTATCATCCTAGGTCAAGGATTGCGGCTTGCGATAGAGATGTGCATTCATCACGCGAACATTTCCGATTGCCTGAAAATCAACCTTACGTCTCTCACCTTATAGATCTTTATATAATATCTGATATATCTCATTAGTTTATTAATTATTTTTATCTGAACGGCTTTCGAATACACCATACAGGTGATGTTTTGAAACTGTAAATATTATTTTAATAAAGATATTCCTAAATCAAAATTTAAAACATCTACTTGTGAAAGAAAACATTTTTAAGGGTATAATATACTTAATTTGAAAAACCTTTTGAGAACGGTCAGTTTACACAGATCTGTCGTCTCGTCAGATTAAACGGCCTTGTGCGCGTACTTCAACAGGAGGGTGATTTCATTCTCCTTCAAAAACACGGGATCATCAAAAATAGTAACCGTATTCCTTGACCTAATTTTTTATAAGTAGAAATTAAATGTGAATCACAAATGACACATATTTACGAAGATAGTGACGGTAGTAGGTATTGTAATATAACTTCTTAACGTAACTCGTACACCTGTAACACTATTCGATTCAATTAGGTTTTAATTTACTTACTCATCCTTCGTTATTGTTTCTGTTTATCCAGTTCAACTTTTGCAATCTATTTTCCAAACATGGATTATTGACCTAACGAAACAGGTATAAATCAACAATCAGGGGCAATCAACAATGCATTCATTACAGCTAACAAAAACTGGTTCGATGATGGAGCCGTAACACGGGCATAAGAATCCCTTAACTATTTATGGTTAAGAAATTTGGGGAGAAGTTTTTAGTGTTATAACACTAACCTGTCGAATTTATAGTCCCAATTGTTGTTGGTTATTTATAGCGTGATATCGTGTACATTCCAAATTTAACATTTTAATAAATCAACTTTCTCTTTTAAAGAAGAAGATAGTTTCCTGGAATATATTTAAAATAATTTTCAATATCAATGTATCGCTTACTGTGCATGTCTTATATATACGTACAGACTAGTCATAACATACATCTGGAAAATTAAATAATGTATGAAAATAAAATACGACGTAGCATATAAGTAGGAAATGTAAGTTTGAAAACGGTTTTTGGCGATAGTGCGGATTTAAAGAGGTCTGAAGGACAAGTTTATTTTATATTTATTTAGTTTGGTTAAACGTTGATCTATCACTACAATATCAGGCTTATTGGCGACAATAGTCCTGTCTGTGATAATAGATTGATACGTCCAATTTCCAATTCGGTAATGAACGGACTGCACAGCTTACATCATCTCTATCAATAGTAACAGGTTTCATAAGTGTTATAGACTCATATGACATGTACTTTTGAGGACTAATGGTAGTCCCAAAGAATGCCTGTTTCATAAAGCGCATCACTCTCGGCCGCGTATTCCCTGATCAAAAGCTAATTAGCTTACCGATGAGTGTCCAAGTCTCAGCAATATGACGTTCAATTCTATACTGCCAAGTTACATTTTCAGTTATGTTAACACCAGCTACTCGACAATCTGCAATAGCCGCACAGTATAGAATAGAATGTGTATCACAAAGATCAGGCAATAACTAATCCAAGGCACCCACCACGGGGCAATCAGGGTCTATTGTTGCAACTTACATACCGGTATTCCAGAATCGCATCCTCCAAAGCGCTCCTTATCCTATCATTGTATTGGGTACTTACGGATATAACTTTACTCTCCACTAGTTCATCAACATCATTACTTTGTGATACTAACTGAGGTGTACTGTTGGCTACCAAATCCACAGTGTGTGACGAAGAAGGGATAATTGAGCTATTCCGTATGTCAGAGCGTATCCGCTCAAGTACTGCATCATCCATCAGGTGACAGCGCTGTATAGCTCGTACTTGATCTGACAATCGTTGCGCTGATACGAGGACAGCTGGTTTAAGCTTCTGAAACAAAGAGACTAGTCGAACGCGAAGGTTCGTTCCCCGCTCTGTGGCCCTATAATATGCCCGCATGACATTCTCATTGATTGAATTTTTGAATTTGTCCACTTCTTACGGTTCACATTCCCACCGGTAGCGGAGACCCTGTTCGAGGACAGTGGTCCTTGGGGTCCCAAGCAGGTCGGTGGCTGGCCTCTCCCTTGCTGACGTATAGGTGTTGGCGACGTCGGCGGAGAGAAAAACTCGTCGCTTGAAGTCGAGCCCGACGCCTCAGCCACGGCCGGAACTTCTGTTGTACGTGTATGTTAAAAGTGCTCTGGATCTAGCTCTTGTTATCATCTTGCAGTGGAATTTCTTGCTAAAAAAAATCTTATTATTTTGACATGACGTCTAAGATTTTCTTGGTTTATTTATTTTGGTTCTTCTTTATTATTATTATTGGTGTATTTTTATAAAAAGAATGCAATGTTTCGTTTTATATAGTAAATAACTATGTATCCTTAGAAACACTTTTTGTAGTTGTATATACTTCTTATACATGAATTTTCTTAATTCATAAAATAACATAAGTTTTTAAACTGAGTATTATGCTTTTTTCTTTCAAAAATTACCAGAAGAGTTAAAAGTCGTGGTTAACAGCTAGTTTCTAAATAAATGTGTAAAAGTAATAATTTGAAAATAAACAGTATTGCGTTTATCGATTGAATGCAGAAAGGTCAGTTCAAGTTGAATGACTATCGGTATACCTATTTGCGGCGTACGGTGAGATTAATAAATACGTAGTAAAGTGATATTCATACAACAAAGAGATAGGGATTTCAAAGTTACTTCCCTCATTGATACTTTACCTTGAATAATAACAATTGCGAATTTGCTAAATTATTAAAATGATTATTTTAATTATTTGCTACAGTTTTATCAATTTATTTTATAAGACCTAAGATATAAAAACACACCACAAGGTTGACTCGAACAGACTCTTATATTTTACTTTCCACTGTTGTATTATGGTGTATAACCATCAATTATTCCTACCACCATTATTCCTATCAATTTACAATATGTGTTTGTATAAATGCAACTTCAAGATTGTTAAAGTTTACATTTTCAAAAATTATGTTTATAAATATAAATTCTTTAAAGTTACTTTGAGAGAGCCGAGACAGAAGTCGAGGCACTTTAAGTTTTATTGATTGATTGATCTGAAATCTGCTAAATAGAAATATAAATTTCTCCTGTTTTTAAGAATTTTAACACTGGAGAAATCTTACTGTTATATTATAAGCAGGATTTATTAAAAATGTTAAGCATAGCTATTGGATCAAGACGCCAGATGAAAGGTATCATGCTTCCTTTTGCATATCGTAAACCAATCTGGCTAATAAATTATAAAATACTTCACTTTAAAAATCTATGATATGCCTGTGCCGATCTACAACCTCTCGTTTCCAAGCCTTATGATAAGAAAGGGCAACAAACTCATGCCCACTCTTTTGCGATTCACAGGTAGATACAATGGCATTATTAAATATACCACAACATTGTTTTGATGTGTGCCAGTATGTCCGTCATTAAGGACTAAAAGGTAAAAAGACAATGAAGAGAAAAAAAGATTAAAAAAAAATCGAATAAAAGAGAAACTTAAGTAAAACAAAAATTAAAAACCCACACCACATTTTTGCTTAAGAAATAGCCGGCGCTAATTAATCCCAAGCATTTTTTTCTTCTATGTAATCCACAGTTGAGTAATAGGCCCTCTGGCACAAGCCACGTTTTATTGCAGATTTAAATTTGTTCATACTGAAGTCTTGAATATTATTTATGATTTTATTATAAAGTCAGACACACTTATTTATCTTTTGATTTATATTTCTGGTATTTATAGAATGTACGTCACTTCTATTCAAAAAGCTATCTTAATTGATTAAGAACTTGCCAGTGTCATTATGTTTATTCCTTTAAATTTCTGCCTCAATGAACAACAATTGCCTAAATTATAAAGAGCTCGAATGGCTCTCTTTTGCAGTACAAAACCAGTTTGAATGTCGGCAACAGTCCCCCACAGTAGAATACCGTACGACATGATGCTATGAAAATAACTGAAGTAAACAATTCGTGCTTTATCAACATCAGTCAACTCTCTAATTTTTTATTACTGCGTATGCTGCTGAGCTGAGTCTACTCGATCATTTATCAATATGTGTACTGTAGCTCAGAATACAGCGTTGTACCTAAAAAGGTCGTAGTGTCCACAAGGTCTAACCCGACATCCTTAATCATCACAGTAGTTTTCACTGGCTTGATATTTGGCATAGTGAAACGTATAGTTACTTACTTACTTACGGAACTTAGTTTTTTTTTTCATTTAAAAGCTAATTTTTGACGTCAAACCAATGAACCACTTTCGCAATGGCTCTGTTTACGTCTGTGAAATTAGGAAGTGTTTCTTTTAGTCTAAATAATAGTGATGTATCATCTACATACAACACGATCTCGAGATTGTCCTTGACAAGGTGATGTAAGACGTTAATATATACTAAAAACAAAAAAGGGCCGAGAATAGAACTTTGTGGAACGTCCATTTCTACCACAAAACCTGGAAACCGCTCACCATTAATATCAACTTTTTGAATCCTATTATATAGATATGAAGTAAGAAGTTCCAGTGCTTTATTTTTGATACCATAGTGCTGTATTTGCCAGATCAGCGTTTCATGATCAACACAGTCAAAATGCCTCAGATAAATCGCAAAAGATACCTAGAGAATCGTGGGCATCCTCCCGGGCATCAAATATATGTTTTACTAGCTCAACACTGGCATCAGTTGTGGAGCGACCCCTTGTAAAACCAAATTGTTTATTGTGTAATAAATTATTATTTAAAAACTTTGCAATTGATCATACATTCTTAATAGTACCGAGATAGGTCTAAAGTAACTAACTTTCAGGGTCAGATGTACTGCCATATTTGAATAAGGGAATAATTGAACTAGGCTTCATAAGACCAGAAAATACACCACTATCAATACATTGATTAAATGTAAATGACAATTGATTAGCCACAAGAGATATAATTGTCTTAGTAATTAATACAGAATTTCCCCATGGGTCGGTTGTTTTTTAAACATTAATAGTGTTAAAGGCTTTAATAATTTCAAAGGCGGACACATATTGGAACTTAAATTCACTATCAATCCTTCTAACATTCCCTTTTAAAATTGATTCTGCAAGGCATGGTGAGGAGTTCAAAGATTTAGTAGTTGATAAAGGAATGTTAGTAAAAAAATTCTCAAATGCAGCAGCAACCTCAGCATTTGATGTGATAAATTTATTGTTTATATTAAAGTTTAATCAGATGACTTTAAATTATATACAGTTTGGGATTGGATTGAAATCTTGACGTAAACATAACATAATACTCGTAATATTGGTGATTCTTTTTAGTAAAAACCATTTGTATACTCGTAGTAATATTTGCATAATTGATCATATTTGAATAGTTAATATACTTTTCTTAAAATAAAAATTTATTTACGTATATTTTCATGTGTTTCAGTGAATTTGGTGAGGATATTAATTTATTTGTGCTCAATAAATTTAAATCTGTCGTGACATTTTGATTTACTTACTTTATAATTGATTCGATGAGAATCCCAAAATCTGCATTTGGGTGATTAACGCTATATGTTGGAAAATTGTTGAGCAAATTATTTGTTGAGCAAAGTATTCTAGAATAGTTACGAGAGCTGGCCTTCAGATACTTCTGAATAATGTATAAGAGACAGGATTTATCTTGCTGACCCAGTACCAACAGAGCTGGACGCATAATGCTATTCTGAATAGCATACAGAATTACAAACACATTCTACTATGTAATTTTCTTATAGTTTATATAAAACTTTGATCCAATAGAAAACATAACGTGCAAAAATCGTGTAAATCGCAATCGCAATTCTTCTATACTAAATAGTTGTGAGGTCTATATTACTTGACATTTTAACCGTGTCAATATTAAACATGTTTTTTCCTTTTACTTAAAGTACCTGTGATTATGTAAATAAATTCGCGTACCTCTATTGATATGCATACCCCACTTTGTGTCAATCGTCAGAATCGACTTCCAAGGTGTACAAAGTACTTTTAACGATTTACTTCCTATTTAAACTTAAGTAGTTTGAAGAATGTTCTGATATGAGGAAAAATATAATTCTTTACTTTCTTCGCGCACGGAGGAATATAAAATTTAGAGTACTTGATGTGAATATATAAGTCTTAAGTTATAAGAAGTGATTTTTGTAAAATAATATTTTGTTTTACAGGTACATTCTTCTGCATATCAGTGCTCAGTAAGAGACTAAACGTGGAAGATAGCGCTATTGGCGCATTAGCTGGTGCGAGCAGGATAGCGAGCTGTTTTATGTTTGCATTTGCACCGAATAGATCTTGGTACTATGTAGCACCACTGTTAAACATATTTAGTCACACTGGTCTAACTGCCGTCAGATCAATAGCTACCAAAAGTGTTCCGACTGAAGAAGTAGGTAGGTATATATTTTTCTATTGTACTATAATTAAGAAAATGTTTAGGATTTACCAACAACGTCATCATTTTCTAGGACTTACCGAATTTGACTGAAGTCGCTACATTGGCTTTCCAATGTGATGTGGTTTGTAACGTGATTTTACATAGACTACAGTCTTTCCCAATGAATAGACAACAAAAAAATATTGAGATAAGACTTTTAACAAAAGATTACTGCATTTAAATAAACAACTCTTAAAACAGTAAACTCTTCAGATTTATTAAAATTAGTAAAAACATGTTAAGTCAATCTTGTTAGACTAGCTCTCGACGGACTTCGGTTGAGGATTGATTTTCGTCCGGTGTAAATAATTCTAGGATGAGCACAATCATTTATTCCAATTTGTATGTATTCAGTAATTTATAGGTATGTTTATCTGTTGTACAGGCACTGCCTATTTTGAGATCAGACGGCCGTGTGTAAGGTCTCTTAAGTTATAAGTAAAATATATTACAGGGCCATTGCAACTGTACGAATATCCTCTTGCTTTGGTTTTGATTCATCAGGTAGTAAACCGCATTAATGAATTTGGATACAACAACGGAAAACATTAAACTTCGTCACATGGCAAACAACTGCCTTATCGGTCCTTGACACAATTTCATTTTAATTAAACAGTGTTAATTCTGTTGTCGTTGGGAACTATTATTTCAGCAACTAACGCGATTAATAAGTTTTACACATACTTTGACCAAAACCTCCTTGCCAAGGAGAGGCCTATGTCCAACAGTGGACTATTAAAGGCTGTTGATGATGATGACATACTTTGGTGGGACACAGTGTGACACAGCCATTGCAACTTAGTCGAAAGCTAAAGCATGCAATGCCTAATAAACGTGTTATTTCCCGAAGTAATAATTATGTCATAGAACACGAAAATTTAAAAGTTAATATATTTTTAAGAATTCAGTGAATGCAGTCAAAAAGTTAACTAATTAATTTCATATTACTACACAAATACATAAGATAAGAATTTCGATTGGTATTATCTATGATTGGAGAAAACACATTACAATTTGGCATTATTATAAAGTAGCGAGATAGTATCTAGTACCTATAGTACCACTATATAGTAATATTGCTTAGAGTAATGTCTAATGGTACTTCTACCTATGATATTCTGCTCTCTTAACACAGGGAAACACTCCATGCATATAAATATGATATAAAAAATACGTGTGGTTTTTCACCGTTGATTTATATGTATGGGACGTTCCTCGTTAGCGTGGCTTTCGATAAATATTTTAAAAGGTTAAACGTGGGGACAGTAGATCTTTGAGAAAAAACCTTGCAACGAAAAAATTCTTTAAATGAATTTTGTGTAGTTGCTTTAAAGGTACAGGGTTAAATTCAGGTTAATTCTTAATTTTAGTTTAATCCTTTTTTATTTTTTTTATTACCGATGAAAATATTTTTTTACGATATTGGAGGCAAACGATAACAAGATTGAAAGGGACTAATTTATTATACTTAATAAATTTCCTATTTAGTCATTTTATTTTATAAAAATATAATAGTAAAAAATAACTTTACCGTAAAAGTTAACGATATTTTAAAACCATAATGTATGTATTTATTCATCTAAAATATGTAATAAAATATCTAGGGCGCGGAAGCTTACTTATGTTTTATCATAATTCAATTTCTATAAATGACAGAAGTTTGTCCAAAAAGAACTGCAGAGAGAAGGAAAACTTGACACAAACCCTATAACCCGTCTGGCCAGCGTGGTGTAGTAGGTCAAAACTTCCTTTCTAAAGAGAGGCCTATGTCCAGCAGTGGACTAGTAAAAACTGTTGATGATGTTGATGATGAAATAAATAAAGTTATGTTGTAGAAATGAAAAAGAAAACAAGTCATTTTAGTTAATTAGAAGTAAGCTCCTAAACTCGTGCCGATTATTTGAATAGAAATAAGGTTGTGACAGACCGATAGACAAGACAAAGATATGTTCTGAAGTTGCCATTGTTTAACTAAAATCAACTCACCGCTTAATCCGTCCTTTGTTAAAGATACAGCGGAAAGGGAACGTTCTATTTATCCGTAAGTGAAATAAATGACGTAGGAAATTGGTCTATAAAATGTTACAGCTTGATAAGAGAAAATTTGCGAAACGACAAGAGCAGTGGTTTATATGTGGTGGAAAGGCTGTTGAAAGGATTAACACCTGTTGCTATCACGACATCTAACTAGAATTTCTCTCTTGACTACTAAATATATTAAGTAAACCGTATTTTCTGTGTTCTCGTGTATACGTGCAATAAGTAATGATAATGCAATTTTCCAAACTATAAATTAGGTAGTGGACAGTTCGCATTAAAATTATTCATATATCACATATCCATATTGTGTTAGTAACAGTGTGTCTTAAACTAGTGTTAGTATTAAACAACATAATTAACAAATGAAATATATTAATTTTTTTACGTGAATAGAAATCCACCTTTGAATAAGGGAGGAGTCTTACCTATCTCTAAAAATATTCAGCAAAGAGAGTACTTACTTTTGTTAAAAACATTATGCCAATAAATGATTTGCAAAAAATACTACACAAAAGTGTTCTTGAGTAAATTTAATAATAAGATAAGATAAGATAGATGTGTGACTATAAAATGATTATATTTAATTTATTTACATTTCGAAAGCGTATGAATTTCTTGATTAATGATGACATGAAAGTGACTTATTATGATATGTATTCAGATTTATATCTTAAATCCATGTTACTATCATAAAAAATATCTCACAAATTCGTGTAATTATGTATTACCAAAAGTCACTTCACTCGTTTATATTTATAATTCAGAAATTGTAAAAAACTTCTTTTAGCCTGTTGAGTTAGTAACCCTGATTTCAGAGTTTTTGGGTTTGATTCTCACCCGGAACAACAAATTTGGTGGTTATGATTTATTTATGATATGTATGTATTAAGTGTATCAGAAATCTGGCCATTATTTTAACATAACAAACAGACACTTAAATTTTTTACCGACTTCAGAAACACAATAGAGAAGGTTATCAATTCGTGTGTATTTCTTATTGTTTTTTTTTTTGTAAAATTGTTGCGATATCTCCGAAAATTGTATACCGATTTTTACACACATTTTCACACAAGAGAGTAATAAATGAGACTGCAAAATATTTCGAAAAAAAAATGTTTGTTACGCAATTATTTTCATGTTTGTTACCTCAAAACTCCTTCATTTGTAACCGTTATTTTTATAATCGAAAGGGATACTTCCGAGGTGGTCCATTAAACCAAATCAGGATTTGATGTTGGGATCCTAGAGAAATCGAGGGTAACCCTCAAATTTTTAAGGCCCACAACGTGTTTAACCTTCCTATTATAATGTTACCTGTTATAATGTGGTACTTATGATAGTTTTTTTAATTAGACTTGTTATTATTTTTTAATTTTTAGTGATCTTTGACAGTATTGTTTGAAAACGGTTTAACTTTTTTTTTTAAGGATTTATACTTATTTGTATAGATATAAACATTCAATTAATTTTCTCTACCAAACACTAGCCCCAATAACAACAACCATTACTATTAAACATTACTATTTTGAAAACTACCTCTACTTAAGATAAAACATATACCATTCACAAAATTTCAGTATAAGTTTTAAAGGAAACTGTTAGTAACACTTCAGTATTGCTTGCATGCGTTTTATTTTATTGTTAAAGTACATTCTCTGATAAATGTTCTTCTATAGAAGATCTTTTAGTATAGTAAGGTTTCTGTTCTGCAATAATTATTCTCTGAAGTTATCTCTGACTTTAATAGATTACATTTGAAATTGCGAAGGCAAGAGTATTAAAAAAAAGTTCATTTCATGAAACTATTTACAAATTACACAATTAATTGTGCCGTGTAGAATTAGAACCAACAGTGGGTTCTTATTCTACACGGCACAATTCTGTCCAGGATTGTGGGTTCTATATTTACCTACATAGTGAGGGTGACTCGTTAAACCATAAAGTCATTAATGCTTTCACTATTAAGTAATATGCATGTAAACGATCAATTGCTGTTATTAAACACATCTATTTAACGTCCAAACTGTTAACTTAATACTAATTACGCGCCGTCTCGGTTCGAACCGCGATTGGGAAAGCTGAACGTCTTGGTTTGTATGCGAATCAGAATTTAATTAGCTGCTGCAGGTAACCGACATGAGTAAATCTACATACTTGAGTGTTCTCCACAATTTTCTCGAAGATTTGTTACGAGTTCCCACTATGCCAACGTGTTGGAATATGACCAAGTTCTATTTAAGTGAATATACTATATTACGAGTTAGGCCAAATAAGTTTATACATATGTAAGGTAGAAAAGTGAACACGAAAAGAGCGTATTAATATTTCAAAATATTTCGTTAAATTGACAAAGTCAAAGTAATTTTGAAAAAAAATATCAATTTTGCCCTACAAAATACCCTTATAGTGAACTCAAGAAATGAATCTCAACCATCATCACCTTCATCTTACTAGGTCAAACCCCTTGTAGGGAAACGGGTGTCGTGTCTCTCCAACAAAGGGAGGATGATGAACACGAGGCGGGGTGATCATGCCTGGCGGGCCGCGTTGATGTTAGGAAGTTGTATATATGCTAGTAGGCAAGAGAATTCTTCATATCGCGATACAGGATTAGCAATTCTCATTCAGGAGTTGTTTGTTGGAATCGGACCGAATAAAACCACACGGTGTGCCACTCTGCGCCTGTAATAGGAGGAATCCGGGAACTGCTGTTATTAAGACATCCGAACCCCTCCCTGGCCGCAATCGGTACATTCTCTATTTACCGGTAGAGCCGCCGCCCACACCGGTTCACCGTACAGTGCCATTGACCGGACAACTCAAATTAGGTAAAAGTCGCTCTAGGGCAGACGCAGCGCTGACCAGCTTTGGAGCAAGCTGTCGGAAGTGCTCGTCGAGAAGCCACCTCCCGTCGAGGATCAGACCCAGATACTTCGTCTGGGCCTGAACCGTTACGAGGACCGAGTTGACCACGATTGAGGCGCCAGGGAGTGGACCACCCGTAAGCCCAGCGCCTCAATGCATCCGACCACCAGAAAGACCAGGCGCGCGATTAGGCAACAACCTTTGTAGGGAGCTTGCGAACTCGAGGGATCATCACCTCGAAATGCTTCTCGAAGCTACAGCGGCTGTCCAGGGTGAGGATGAGGTATTTGTTGTGCCGGCCGACCTCGACCTCTGTGCCTACTCTAATAAGCGAGTGGGTGGAAACTGCACCTCTGCGTTTCCTGTGGAACCACAAGGCTTCCGCCTTATGAGGAACTTGTGGCCCCTTAGCTTTTGACTCAGTCGTATTCAAATAAAATCATATGCAATTATCGAACCACATTCTTCATTAACAAATGAGAGTAACTCTCCATCTGTAATTTGTTTATGGTTAACAGCTATAAACTCCTGACATGATACTTTTTTACTAAAGCTCAACAAACAACAAAAATAAGTACAAACAACAAAATTTGAAGATAACAGTTTAATATAATATGATTATGTGATAAACAACATGTAAATCTGATAAAACGTATTCCCTTTTTTCGAAGGTTTGGGATACCTAAAACGTAGAGTTACTGAAATATAAAGCTCCTTTATATTGTTTCAGCTAAGCTGAGTGCTCTCATGGGTGTGACGGAAGCAATAGCGCCTTCAATATACATGCCTTCCACTAGCTACATCTACATGTCAACAATCGACAGCTTTCCCGGTGCCTTTTATATGTTTGATGTAGCACTGACTGTCGTCGCTCTGGGATTATTCGCGTAAGTTATAATTTTTTTAGGTTCAAGTAGTAACATAAAGTTATGAATATTCATGATTATCGTAAACCTGGTATCTGTAGTTTGAAATCTGTAAAAGCGAACTTTTTACTTTTTTAATTCATAATTTATAATTATTTTTAGTATCTTGAGAAACCTGTTTGTTTCCATCCACTGACCACAGACCTGTTAAAATTGACAATTATCTTAGCCAACGATTGACGGTTTGTTGTTGAAGTTTCTAACTTATAGCATTTTGTTTTAAAATGTATTTCGATTGTAATAATTACTATTAGTATGATATCATGATTTTAAGTAATGTAAAGTTCCTTACCTTACCTACGACTTCATAAAATGAGACAATAAATGTTTTGACTTCGACTTTGGCTATAAAGCGACTTTAACGTTAAACAGCTAGTTAACATTAGTAGATATAGAAGTAGAGCATTGTGACATAGAATCATTATTTTTTGGCAGTCAATTTTTATAAATTTTGACTCATATTATAAATAAATATGAAGGTTTCAATGGATGGATTAATGTATGTTTGTTCATCAATTACGAGTACGAATAAAAGCTAGTGTTTTATAAGTAAATATTTAATGTATCCAAAAGATTAGATTTACTACGTCGTAAGTGAAAATCTGAAACAGTTGGTAAAGCCCTTGTTTTCATGTAATATAAGTGTAGGTGATAATTATGTTATATGTGTTTGTATATCACTTAAGTCAGTATTGTTTAAGAATTCACTGACCGTATAAGGTTAGTGTTGAGATATATATCGTAATAATATTGGTAAATACTAATATATATGTATAAGCTGTTTTTAAGCAACTCCAAGAAGAAGGAGGTTTTCAACTCGTTTTTTTTTTGTTGAGCGTATTCTACGCGGTACCTTCTCTATTTGTCAACAGACTGCAAAATGACCACTGTGTAGACACAATGTTTTTTTTTCACGAATACAGATATATAATAGAATAAAAGACACACAGTAGGTTTGGTGTGTTGCTTATTCTACTGAGATGGCAAACAAGCATATGGCTTATGAAATATAATTGCCGTAGTGCAAGATACTGTCTGAGACACAATGTTTTAAAAATGGTTAACGCTCATAAAAGACTAGAAGGTAGAGCCTAAGTGACTCTCGGTTTGTAAGTGTGAAGATGAACACATAGGGATATAGAAAGTAGCCAGGGTTATCATCTTAAAAACTCCTCAGAATACAGAGCTAATAGCTCATCTTAGCCCAAATCAAAAGTTTTTGGGTATACATATTAGGTGTATTTACACCATCTAGACTATCTAGACATCACAGCTTACGTAGTATATAATAAGGAACTTCGTTCTAACAAAAAAGTTAAATAATTACATAGGTGACATTCTAAACACGTATGAATCTTAAATAAAACCTGATGTCATTCAGGAGAACTTTGATATCTTAATGCTGAACCAGTTTGATATTTTTACTCACAGTCATAAATAAGACACGTTATATTTGCTATGACTACCATGGACATATGTATCAGAAAGCTAGTTTATAAGGCAAGGATCATCGTTTTGGCAAATTAATTCAAGTCACGGCTAGTTTTGCGAATAACCAAATTAAAAAAAAACACAAATTGAAATGAAACTTAAAACGATTTTTGCCATATTTTTGTCACCCGAATTTCTAATAGCCAACAGTCAAGTCTATTGAGTTTATTAGGCATAATATAGGCATAGTGTTTTAATAGACGTAATCAAAATAGATAGTGCATCAAAAGAAAAAAAAAAGGAAACGTTAACAAGTCTTTTTAACTTCGACTTTTGTTCAGATATTTCACTTATGGCTAACACGTTAAAATGACATTGTGTTATGTTGGGTTATTGAACTTACTAGCGCACCTAAAAATGTATTTATATTAAATCTTTAATTCTTCTTATTTCATTAGTCTGTATGTAAATTAGTTAAAACATGTCGTCGTTGTGAATCAAAACTGGTATTATTGATGTTGTCGGCGAGATCAAATGCAATACGTCTAATTTTGTCAATACACTTTTTAGTCATTTTCAACATTACAGAAATAATATAAATATACACGATAGTAAATATTAATAATTATTATTATATTGATAGTAATTCATGCGGGTTACTTAAAGGATGGCAACACTAAGCTGTCGGTGTCCAGGGGTGGTCACCTACAGCCCAAGACTCACAATTCAACGAGGGTGATACTATAATATACAGATAGTAATTTAAGAAACAATTTACACCACAAATTACACCCAATCCGGATTTTCTTAGTTTGTTAACGGAGCGGTTTCCGGTTTATCTAAAAAAAGGTTCTAAAAATCGAAACCTTGGCTCTAGATCTAACTCACAACACTCAGCTGCAGTAGGAAGTGGCAAGGCGTGGCGACCGCTTAAAGCACTAGGTACCCTATTTATGCAGTCACTATTTGTATTGATCTCGGAACTTATAAGTATAATATGAATTATATCTTAGTCCATCTTTTAGAATCCACAGTTAAAGCTCTGCTTACTTTGAGTTTTGACACCGCTATTACAGATTAACCTTATTCAGTTTTTAAATACTACCCACGCATTTAAAAGTACTTAATATCTCGGCAGTACAAATTTAACTCCACTATCTTAAGTTACTTTCATATGTATTGCCTCATCCAAACATTACAAAGTGCTTTTAAATTACCTCATTAATGAATATTTTAACGTAGACATGGCCTAAAAAGACCAATGAGGAATAAGATTACATTTATTACCTTTTAGAATTTAATCGCTCAGAGTCTGTTTAAATAGTTTTATCATTATTTTTTAACTCATAAAGTGTCAATGTCTGTGTCAATATTTGAAAAATAATAAAATGTTGGCATTATTTAAAATATTTGCTGATTGAGGGCAGTTAACGTCCTCGTTCTGAAATTATCTACAATATCAAGACGGACTCGGATCAGATTCATCCCGTGGATATCGGAAGAGCTGACTAAGGGAGCATAGGTACTACGCAGGACAATAGCACTGCAAAAAGAAGGCCAAAACGTTTTCCAATCCAATTTAATTCTGAATAATTTCGTTGCGGGTTTCAAGACAGTATAACTTTTCCTGGGACTTCCCGTATGTGATAACTCTGTGTGTTCGTTTGCTACTAGGGTGTCTAGGAGGGATAGGTCCTAAAAGTTCACTATTTCCTATTAAAAATAATTTTGGAACACAAACACACCTTGACTTGAAATTACACTACTGGCAAAAAATAATAATAACCGGTTCTGTCAGTCCGTAAATGTTGTTATTTTCAATAAGTATGTCATATTAAAATCATATTATTATTTCACAGGTTTATTTACACACTTGCAAAGCGAAGAGACAAGGTCGTTTCGAATCCGAGTAAAAAAGAAGAATATGCCAGATCAAACGAAGTGTCACGGTTTTGAAGATATTTATTGAAATATACTTGTTATGATCTGAAATAATGACTCCTTAAACTGTTTGTCGTTATTTTACCATTCAAGACGTATATGTCGACATCTGACGAACTTTACAATTATTTTGTATAGAAGTAAATTCGACTGACAAAATATTGTTTCATGGTGAGCTAAGTTACATAAAATAATATTTATACGTTTAATGTTTGTATCTACCAAAAATTGAGTAAGTAAAAAGAATACAAAAATGTAAAGAACAGTTGGCAATGTATGGCTGTAAATAAGATTAATTAATGAATTACCAATAGAAAAAACATTTTGTAAGCTATTTTGCCTCTATATTTTTCAATAAGTCACCGCTCTCTGATGGTAAGTTAAAGTACTTGTACATTTCACAATCCTTATCTGTCGTATGTGTATCGAATATTACGAACTCCACTTTTCTACTAAAGTATTTGTTTATTTCGTCAAAGTTAACTAAATAAATAAATGTATGTATATTATTGTTTTGAGGTAATATAGATTTAAATATTTTTAACCCATCTAGATACAGTAATAAATTTCATGGTGGCATGTGCTCTGTACTTTGTTCTGTCTGTTGTATTTCTCATTAATATCTATTTTTTTGTTATGCAATAAAATATATTCTCCATCTATGTATATATGGTAAACGAAATAACTGATCAGGTTTATATATGAGTGAATTGTAACTAAATATTTTCTTCATTCAAACAGTTGTAAATTATTATTGTTTCAAAACCATTCTGCGATATAAGATTCAATTCCTCTAGTAATAGTTAATTGAAATTAGAAGTACTTCGTACTACTGACCAGGTATTTCCTCTGCAGGTACATTTGGTCTAATGCATGGCATTACATTTGGGCCTGAATGAAAATTTCAATTGCTGTTTTTCCATTACAAAAATGACGTAATAAATGTGCTAATTTTAATCTAATATTAAGGAGTTAGCAACTCATCCAATTCGTAATTGCTTCTTAATAGTATTTTTCTATTTTTATTTCAAACACTTACAAAAAATTCTAGTCCCTAGTACAGCAGCACCGGGGTCTCAATTCTGCTATTTTAATATTGTATCAATAGATTGTCGATGGAATGTCGTCGGAATAGTTTTGCACTTTTTCTATTCTACTAACTATGTAAGAATAATGGCCTCGCAGACAGATGACTTGTCACTGATGCAAATGTCGTCGATGTCTTTTTGGTAAACGTTACATGTCAGTTTGGTAAACGGTACATCTTAATTTAATTTGTTTAATTTTCCAGACATGGCAATGTTATTGCTGTCACCATTGATGACACATATTATTATTTCGATAGTCTATTGACACTGAATTTATGTTATTAGAATAGTTATATTTTAACCGATTTTAATGGCGTCTCAATGGCATCTCAATAGCGTGTTAATAGAATGACAGTGGCTTGGCGTTAACATAAAATAGCAAAATTGAAGCCCTGATCAACTTCTAAAAAAATTGAACATTATTGTATTTTGTCAGTTTATATAATTATGCAAAGGCGAATGGCTGACGAAGGCAGACGTGATTAAACACACTCGCCCGAGAGTAGCTGTACATTACCTTTATATTTTTGATGTAGTGTCAATTTGGAGTAGGTAGATAGATAGAAAACTCTTTGTTTGTACACCGTTTTCCAAAATAGAACAGCACATTAAAAAGTCAGACATGAAATGTCCTGAGGGCGGCCTTATCGCTAAGAGCAATCTCTTCCAGACAACCCTAGGATGAATCTTAATGTTTCGGAGAGACAGAAGTAGTTGAAGGTGCAATAAGTTTTAACAGATTAAATGCTAATGTAAAGGAAATATATAATTCCGTAGTCCATTATTTTGATCTGTCTCGTAAGGTTTAGCCAGCGTTTGCAATGCGCACAAAAACATGTTTTTTACGCCATCCCATTACAAATTTTCTTTACGCTTTAAGCTTTAAATTCTCAAATTTTCTCTACTATAACATGTACATGCATACCAATATTTTAAAAAGTGTGTCTGTCTGTCTGTCTTTCTGTTTGTCTGTCTGTCCCTCTGTTACCTCTTCACGCTTAAACCGCTTAACCGATTTAGATAAAATTGGCATAGAGATAGTCCGAGTCCCGGGAAAGAACACAGGGTAGTTTTTATCTCAGAAATCAAACTTTAAGGGAGTGAAAAGGGGGGTGAAAGTTGGTATGGTAAATCAAGAACCACTGAACCGATTTAGATGAAATTTGGTATGGAGATACTATAATTCTTGAGGAAAGATAATGCTGCTTTTTACAGTGATAGGCGATATTTACGCAAGCGTAGCCGCGGGCAAAACCTTGTTATACATATATCCTCTTGAATCATTATCTCTATTTATGAAAACGCATTAAAATCCGATGCGTAGTTTAATAGAATTAAGCGAACAGGAACAGGAAGCTACGAGTAATTTTATACTTACAAAGTAGGTAGGATGGTGATAAATTCATGGCATATAGTAGAATCTTTGAACTCATTACTTAACAATGAACCTATATGTAATAGTGTAGGTAGTGATAATTTTAGTATAGATGTTCTAGCTTAGATATCTAATATGTATACTTGAGTATTTACTGATTGATAATAAACGTTGATTGTTTAGTTGTTAATGACTAATCAAATTCGTGTACATCGGCGATGCCTTAATCATAGGTGTTTATACTTTTACTTAGATACTAGTGTAATAAATCATCAAAAATCACAGTCTCTTTTGTTGTCAATTTCATAAAACTGAGTATGCAAACAAATACATAAATCTCAATGTAAACTGTTTTGGTGGTCAAATACACTTGTCACTATTGTCGTTATACTTATGTATACATATTATACAGCATCATTGCAATTTACTGCCGGAATATTCATCATTTTTAGGGTTCCGTACCTCAAAAGGTAAAAAAGAAACCCTTCAAGATCACTTTCTTGTCCGTCTGTCCGTGTGTCACCACCGATTTTCTCAGGAACGGATAGACCTAGGAAGTTGAAATTTATATCAGATACTGAGGTCTGTAGTCTCTATTAGGTGTATAAAAATCAAGATCCTGAGTCACCACGATGAAAAGATACGGGCAAATTTTGATTTTCACGAAAACTTGTAAGTACCAAAATTTACTTTAATTTTCAACTTTTTTTATTTTTCAGAATTTTCTCTTCAATTGTGCTGTAAGACCTTGCTTTAAACCAAAATTGACAATTCTAGGTCAACCGGAAGTACCCTATAGGTTTGACTGCACGGATGGCGTAGTGGTTTAAGCGGTCGCCACGCCGCTTCCTACTACGCCGAGTGTTGTGGGTTCAAACCCCACATGGGACGACACTTTGTGTGATTCACAAATTGTTGTTTCAAGTCTGGGTGTTATTTGTGTCCGTTTCATGTATGTTTGTAAAATCCCCCGCGACACAGGATATTTTCCTAATGTGGGAGTTGTCTTTAAAAAAAAAAAAAAACCAAAAAAAAAAAAAAAGTTGAAAATTAAGATAAATTATGGTACTTGCAAATTTTCGCGAAAATCTACGTAAAATCTGGGTAGGTACGGAACCCCCGGCGCACGAGTTCGACACGTAACTGACCGGTTTTTTTTCATGTTTTTTGGTTAAAAATTATAAAATCTGATAACACAATAAGTAAACAGAACATTTTACTTAAAATAATTTAATAGATACTCAAGGTCAAAAACTGCAATGTAATTAATCTAACAGCAGAAGCGCTTCCACCCCCGGGCGCCTTAGTGTGCGTAGACTGTTTGCACGGACTACAAATATAGTTAATACTTTTGTGCGATGTCTACGGGGAATGTTCTTTTGACAGCTGATTGCATAAAACGTTTAATTTTCCGGCAGAAAATTGCAATGACTTTCGACTCAGAATTATGGTCTTAATACACTATTTCAGTATTCGTTACGACGTCCCTTACACCTTGTGCATCTATAACAATCCACACTTATATTATAAATGTAGAAGTGAGTTTGTTTGCTACGCTTTCACGCCTAAACCACTGAACAGATTTTAAAAATGGTTGCACCATTGGAAAGCTACATTATCAGCGAGTAACATAGGCTACTTTAAACCGAATAATAACCGACATACACGCGCGCGACAAAAGCTTGTATAGATAGTTCAACTCAGTTGTGCGCGCGGCCCTATGTGTGCGTGGGCTTGTAAATATACAACTTTCATTCGTGTGGCAGTGACGCGGCAGTCGGATGACGACTGCCACACGAATAATAATATAATACTATGTTTATTCTCGAATCTTGAGAATTTTCTTTAATGAATTATACGTTATATTTATGTAAAAACAAATACCCGTAACAACAACAGTGATTATTAACGTATTAGTTTTTGTTTTATAATATGTATATTAAACGAAACGGGTAAATGCAAAATAAATTAAACATTTTCTCAACTAAGTTGTTTTTTTATTTTCAAGTTTGCAAAACGTTTTTGTATAATTTTAACTGACTGTAATATATTCCGTGTCTACAAATGAAAATTCTTAAGAAATATTTGCTTTGTTATCTTGGATGTGTCTTGTATTTATTCAGATGAGACACAACTTGGTTCAATACCCTACTATCAATGTTTATTACAATGAACAGGTGTTTAGCAATGCTTATTGTAAACAAATTGTAGTGTAGTAAAACTACAAACTATGAAGTACAACACAAAATAAATAAGTAGGAAGAAGTTCTGACCATGGATGACCTCCTGGCTCCCTCTTTGGACCATCGTAAATAATCCTAACCGGGTTGAGGTTAAGAAATACGAGGGGTTCACTAAAAGTCACTGAAGTGTTTCACTATCCAGCTACAGGTTCCTCCTCCTCCTGGTCTATCATGAGATCAGTTCTAAAATGCCAAATCATAGTATTCTCATCCCAATAATACACAAATACAAAGTTTAATTTCTATATTACAATTCATCATCATCATCAACAGCCTATACTAGTCCACTGCTGGACATAGGCCTCTCCT